ACTCATACTCACTCACTCACATTCATACTCATACTCACTCACTCACTCACATTTTCATACTCATACTCACTCACTCACTCACTCACTCACTCACTCATACTCACTCACTCACTCATTCACTCACTCACATTCATTCTCACACTCATACTCACTCACTCACATTCATACTCATACTCACTCACTCACTCACATTTTCATACTCATACTCACTCACTCACTCACTCACTCACTCACACACTCGTACTCACTCACTCACTCACTCACTCACTCACTGATTCACTCACTCGCATTCATTCTCACACTCATACTCACTCACTCACTGACTAACTCACTCAATCACTCACTAAGATTCATTCTCATACTCACTCACTCTCTCACTCACTCATACTCATACTCACTCACTCACATTCATTCTGACACTTATACTCACTCACTCACTCACTCACTCACTCACTCACTCACTCACTCAGGTTTCATTTCTCAGACCTGTTTTATTTTATGATTAGGCTAACTATTTTTTTTCTTAAAAAAAAAAAAAAAAAGCAAACATGAATACATTAGAAAATCAGACTTGTGTATGTGATTCCGTTGTGTTGTGAGGACCTTTGTGATGCTGTGGCTGTCTCTTTAAAGCGCTCAGTCCAGCGGGTTGGAGAGGATTAGTTGCGGGTAGCTGGGAGTGCGCTGCTCCTCTAGCAGCGTGTTCGCTCAGCCTGCAGCTGGACGGAGCGGAGTGAACAGAGGAGGAGACCATCGCTACTAAAACCATCAGGTCTCATTGTTGTTTTGCTCTTAGACACAACAGCAGAGGAGCATCCTCAGAAGATAGTACATGTTGGTGTTTGGACATGCGGGAGCGGAGGAGTGATGCTGCTGAGTTTAGTCATTAGGTTCCTCCTCCCCGGGCGATTGCTGCTGCTTTTGCTTCTGACCTCACATCTGGTTTAGGTTTCTGGGAGCAACATCGAAGTTTTTTTAAGGGATAAATCTACTTGCTTGAAATATTTCAAGTGAGTCTCTTTTAGTAGATTTATTTGCTTCTTCCTTTTTTTTCCTTTAATTAATTCTGCGTCCGCTCAAATGACTGAAGATTTGTTTTAAATGATAAGAAGAATCTGAAGATCCCAAGGATCTGGATAAGAAGAGTGTGGAGATGAACTTTGGAAATTTCCTGCTTGTGATTATTTCAAGCGCGGCTGTTACTTCAGGTAAATAGAAAATCCTCTTCTTTCTGATTCCCGCAAACACACGCAGAGGAGTCACAGTCCATCTGGCGTGACGCGCCTCATAGTACAGCCTGTGTGACATGGCTTATCGTGTTTTCTGTTGTCACTGTTGTCTTTGCTGCGTTTTCTATCGCTCTCCCCTGACAGTTGTAGGAGCTGAGGGCATCCTGCCCATTCAAACAGAGAAGGAGAAAATGTCAACCACATCAATTGTATAATATTACAATCCAACGGGTTATTAAAGTCAATTTACATTTTGAAATTGCTCTTCAAGAAGTGACAATTGAACTCTTATCATTGGACAATGCACACAAATTGACCAAAAAGCCCCCCCCAAAACACACACACACACAGTGCATAGCAAAACACAGATTAAAAAGAATTAAATTTGAATGTCCTGCACAAGGAGATTAAACGTTTTAAACATATTTAATAAGCTTTACAGTCCAAAACTTAATCCAAATGTACAATAAAAATAATGGCAGGAACACTAAGTGCGTACTGGTGTTACTTTTACACTGTCAAATTGTATAGAATATTGTGTTTTAAACAGGCATTCAAACCATTTAATTTTTACTTATTATTACCAAAGTTTAAACTAAATTTTTTATTCTTAACATTCCTACATATTTAAATTGTTTAAAATACATTTTAGAGAAAGAGATTCCAATGGCTGTAGAGCTCTTTCCTAGCTGTTGCTACACACTGCTGGATAGCTGGCTGAAGAAGAAGCTATTTGACCTTCCCTTAGTTTAATAGAAAGACAGTTTCTCTATTTTTTTTTATAAAATGGCTAAATGGAAACCAAAGAATTACCTCCCATTAGACTTATGAAGGTAAATGTGTTTTAAAACTGCAGATGGTAAGTTAGTCTTTTAAGCAGCAACCGACTAATTAACCTACTTTTCTACCTCATTATATATATATGTCTTTTTTTTTTTTACAGCACTAGTGGCTTTTTTTATGGACAGTAAGCCGACACGAAAGGGGGTATGAGAGGGGGAGAGATTTGAACCCAGGTGGGCCGAGTCCAGGATTAAGGCCTCCATACATAGATTGTGCGCGCTAACCACTTTGCCACCAAAGCACACCCCATTATATAGATATTAAGGAGAAGGATAGCAAAAATGTCCTGCGAAGTAAGCTTTGGAAAAATATCAACTTCTCACTAACTTTACATTCTAAAAAGCAATAGGAAAAGATTGTACTGTGTAACATATTTTTTGTTTGTTTGAGCACATGTGGTGCACTCCACTGATTCTCCCCGGGATAGATGTTAGTTTTTATTCACTTCAGTGATATGTTGGTTAATCACACTGATTTTTGCCCGTCACTAAAGTGATGTTTCTATTAGGTACTTATTAATTACCTTGTATCCACCTCTCATAGCTGCTGTTGTTGCTGATAGCTGCTGCTGTTTGAAGCACAGATTAAGGCAGTGCTACAAGGCAGTAAAGGTTTTGCTTTCCTAAAAGATGAACAAGTTTAATACATGGGTGGTTCTAACAGGGGGCAAACAGTTAAGATGTATTTCAGTTTTTATGTTTTGCAGTTTTGTTTTAATGGTAATTCTAATTTTCTTTGCTGTTTTAGTTTCTGTCATATTGAATGAGGGTCAAAGTATGTATCTACATCTTAGTTTTCCAGAGCTGAAAATGTCTCTTTGGCTATCCTAATTTTTCCAACAAAAAAAAAGGTTATTGGTTTAATTTTTTTGTTCTTTGCTCCCATGAAGAAACACTAAATCCACCCCTGATAAATCTGGTCCAGAACTACCCCTGTTTAAATATATATTTGGCCTGGAAACAATCAGGTGTAAACCAAAGGAATTATCCTCTCTGCTCTTGTTAGTGTAACACTGATTTAAAGTTGGTGTAATGAGCTTATCCAGCTGATACCAAAAGAAACAGAACATGAGGAAAAGTTTATCTTAAACTCAGTGCTGATTTAACCTTTTTGCTTATTTACATAGTCTAATTTATTTTTTATTTGAATAACATATATTCTATGCAATAAAAAGTAGAATATATATACTTATATAAGTTATCGTAGTAACTCAGTGTATAGTGATATGTTAATGTTTTAAGAATTAAAGGAGGTCATGATATACAATTTCTATCTCTGTAGAATTTTCTTTCATTTTCCCTACTGCAGTATCAATAACAAGATCATTTTTCCATGGCGATTTCCTTGAAATTCCTTCTAATTTACAATTCTTTGCAGGCCATATAATGAAAAGAACAACAAAATTATTGTCAAGCTCTATAATGTTGGAACCCATGCTTTCTTTATTCCATTTGGACAATTTCTTTCTTCCCAAGCAGAAGAATATAACTGCATTGATATTCGATAAACAGTGCCCTTTTCATATTTATTTTTTTATCTCTTTCTTTTTTATTTTCATTGATTAAATACAGGCCAGATTCATAAAGACACTTGAAATAGCCTATTGGATATCACAACGATTAGAACGTACAAAGCAGATGCCAGCTCCAGCTGCTAAGAGCTAGACGGCAAAAGTATTTTCAAAGGGCTTACAAATTATTCATATCTTGACTGTCACTTTTTCCATAGATTTCCAAAAGGGCTTTGGTGAACACAGCAAGACTCTGACCCAAGAATTGCTTCTTTTTTTTTTTCTTATCTTAAAAAATAAGAGTCTCAATACGGTTGTCAATATACATACCGGTACATAAAATATATACAGACATAATATGATGTTTTCCCAGTTTGGACAATTAATTCCAAAAAAGTAAAAAAAAAAAAACAATACACTGGATAATTCATGTTTTAGGATCAAATCATACAATAACCAAATACTGCACTGATATTTTTTTTATGTTTATGTCTTATGCACCTCCACTTACTGGAAGGTACTTAAAGCAGTACATTAATGCCTAAAGCAACTGTAGTGAAAACCATGCACACTTCTGAGTGGCATCAGTGGTTCAGCAAAGCTAAGAATAGGGCTCGGGATCCACGTTGCATTGTGGGACGTCGCGGTCATATTGACGGCTACGCAAACGTAAACATAGCTCTGATACAACGTTGTTGTTGAAAGAAGAGACGTAGAAGTAGAGAGATGTTAAAGATGTTAAAATCCCGAAAAAGATCTGGAATTTACCAGGACACATTAAATAGAGAAGATGTTGACAAAATCAGCATTGTTAATAATTTGGATCCATATGAACTTCCAAACAATGAGTGGAGCACCAATGAGTGAGCGCCTATACTTCAAAACAGTTCCGAAGCTACAAGTCCTTGGAGTCTCATATGCAGTTCATGAATGGATGGGTTCAGGAGCTGCAGATCATAAAGCCAGCAAACAGTGGGAACACAGTAATCCGTACGAAGATAAGCTGTGATCAGACGGGCTCTGGAACCTGCTAGTTTAGCAACTGCTAACCGCTAATGCTAACAACCATTCACGCATGTAATGTACTTTTAACTAGCTGCTATGTGTTTCAAAGGTGTAGTTAGTAACGTTAACTGCCAACCCTCCGGGTTTCTCACGTATTTGAGCCTTTTCCTGCTGCCGTTTTTATTATTTTCCCGTAAAAGATCCCAACTTTGAAGGAAAGAAACAAAGTAGGCTATAAAATAAAACCGTGCATCTTTAACTTACCAGAATGAAAATGCAGGGAACACACTCTCAATGACATTGGAATACTGTGGAAAGTTATGTTCGGTCGTCTTACAGCCGCGATCCAAGCTAGCCGACAACTCTTTATCTCTGACGCTTGGTCTCCATGGTTACGCCTCCAGGCAGGAAAGCGGTGGAAAGTTAACCCATTTTCTATGTTATTCCCATGGCGATCATGTGTTGAGCTGTTACAGCCCACAATACAGCAACGGTTTACCATGGTTGAAATCAAGTTAAGGTGAAATTAATCAAATTAAAACACGGCTGAGAAGGAGTACAGTATGCCGTAGTCATAGGCAGTAGGCCGTCAAGATGGCCGTCAAGATGGCGGCGACGCAAAGTGCTTACATCATGACGATCAAGCCCTATTGTACAAACAGATGAAAATTGTCCAAACACTCTCTCTAAATGAATTTAGAGGGTTGGGTTCAGCTAACCTATAATAATTGGCCATGTTTTGGTGCACTTGTTTAGTTGCTTTTCAGCAAAATAGCAACTGAACCATTCATGTGAAGCAGCTGGATGTAAAAAGGCACTTAAATGCTTTGAAGTTGACTACCAGAAGAATGATGCAGGGTTGTAGGTACTGTACCAAATAGAGAGAGCATTTAGAATATGTAGATCCACTGGGATTGGGATTTAATTTAAAAACTACAGCAACAACAACTATCACTACAGTGAATTGTCAAAAAAAAAAAAAAGAGGAACAACAGATGACGAGGAGGAGTGTAGAGACTTGAGAAAACGGGAAGGGAACCAAAGCTCAACTAGACATTCTCCACAGTACACTTATTGTATGCAGACTTCCACCTTTGATGTAAAAACATGTAGGTTTTAAGCATCAATTTAAATTCATCAACTTTCTAAGAGTTATTGCTGACCATGTACATCAGGGGTGACGATGGTTGACATCTACTGATACCTCCTTCCAGCAGCACAACATACAATGTCACAAAAATCAAATGCAAATCTGGATTGTTGTGAAGCTTATGTCAAACACTAAGGATTAATTTAATTCTGAAATGGGGATCCAACACAGTTCAAGCAAGATGTTCCTTGCAGAGTGGTCGGAGAGTGTAGAGCAGACAAGCTGGTTTATAATTGTATCACTCTTGTCAATCTCTCTCGGGGATAAACCTGCATTGCCTCTTAACATTAAAGGCACTTTTAACACCCCTGCTTTCTGCCCACATCCATTAATCTGGAGTGGCAATCTCCCCTCACCTCTGTTATTGTCCTTGTTCCCGTCAGTAATGTGTGTAATTTGCACAGAGCACTTGAAAGGAGAGGATTCAAACCAGCTTAAAGCCCTCTGTTGGAAAGCTGATGAGTCAGGGGC